ATTTTCTCAACAAGATTTCCTTCATACTATAATCACTGAATTGCAGCTGTCACTGAATTTCATCAATATTTTCACTTCGGCGAGGTGATCTTCTTAAAAAGTTCTCTAACAATTAGTCATGCCATATTCAAGGAAAAGTCATTAATCCTTGATTTGCGACTATTTAATAAATGCTTAAGATTGGGCCCATTCAATAGACTGCTGAATTTTGGGCCAGTTCATTATTTGGTCTGTTCTACAGTTGGCCTATGGACATTTGGCCCGGTGAAATGTTCAATTACTTGGATGTTTAGTAGTACAAATGTGCTAGTAACTACTGCAATACCTATTAGCATTCATATTGTTCTTATCGTTTTCAATCTGCAACTACATTTTTTGTCTTTACGTGCGATTTGTTCATGTCAAAGAGCAAAAATTTGCTCCTGCAAAGGAATTGGATTGCAGACGTTCAATTTTCTGTTGTTCTTCATCTAATTGCTAGCGTCACATGACATTTTTACGATGTTCTAGGATATTTTTATTCAATTTATCATCAGTGTCAACGTGAGAAGTCATTTCAATCGTTCCTTATTTGCGATTTTTTCTCAAATTTTCTGAAAAAATCGTTCCTTATCTCAATTTTCTGAAATTTTTATCGAAAAGACTGTCGCCCAGTCGGCATTTACGATGCCCATTAAATGCTGTAATTGCATTCGTTTAGTAGCATTTCGTCATTCATTAAGAATCCATTTCATAAACGTTGCTGTTCACTAACGATAAGTTTTACGATTCTTATTTTTTCTACGTGCCTAAATCAGAAGTTTGGAAGTGAAATTTAATGACTTGCACTTTGTACAGTTTAATTACTCGCTCTCGCACAATTTACTGCTATTTCATGCCGATAAACTTCAATAATATGTTGTGCAATTGATAGATAAGGTCGTTGAACGATTGTTTGATCTTTTTAAAGCAATCACTTCTTGTATTTGCGCTATTTCAATCGTTTGTACCCTTTGCAGTACGCGCTTCATTATTATTACTTCTAATTTGACTAGAACAATTGGAAATCCTTATTGTTACTATTGGTTATTCAGTACAATCAGCAATATTCACATTTGAGTTATGTGCTTTGCAATGAACAATAGGCCTGAGCAATAGGTGGAAATTGAGACTTCATCATGAAAACCAGCACACATTTCAAAACAATCATTTACGACTTTTTAGTAAACATTGACTCAATGCACCCGCCACTACAAGGAATTAAATTTTTTTCAATTGTGAAGCAAGCTGACGATATGACACGTCATGTTGTATTCGTTCAATTGGTGGAATGAGAAACATCAATAGTTATTTGATGAGGAGTACGTTCTATTTATTGTCATTTTTTTGACAAATGGTAACCGGCCTATTTATTCATTTCAATAGCGTTATGATTAATTCAATGCTTGATATAGAGATTAGCACGTAACATATAGGTATGATAGGTTTTTACATATGTATACACTTATCTTCTCAGAAATCAAAACGCACTGGGATTGCAATTGAATAGTTTATCGAATTTTCTATGTTATTATGATGGTGATGAAGGAAGTAGAATTGATTGATGATATTATCAGTGATAGTTGAGCATGAGTAATTGAGTGAATGGGATATAGATAAATGCTTGCTGGAATGATGAAAAGCAATGGTTATCGCGCAATTGAATTGTTTTTATAAACAGATAAATTGCCGTTTTGTATTATAAATAAATAAATTGTTTGATTGACTATGTTTATAGCGTTCACATTATTATACGATGTTTTATGCTAGTGCTTGAGTTGGTTGAAGTGTTTGTGATATGATGATTGATATTATTAGTTTGATTGAGTCGTTGAATCGATTCGGAAATGAAATGAACTGAATCGCAAGTGAATTGTTGTTTGATGTGTTTGTTGCAGACTACTAAACGTCACCAAACGTCGATCTCGATCGTTACGTCGACTACAAATGAGTAAAGCCATGAAAAGGTTCGTATTTGCTTGGTTTTTTGCTCCTTTGCATTCGTTCAACCAATTTTTCATTTGTTGATGTTCTTACAGTTCATTCTCATCTGCGGTTGCTGATGCCGATAATATTGCGCTATTGGGGTGTTTGTGAAGAGCTCATTTTGATCAGTTCAAAAAATATTACTTTCATATCAACAAACAGGATTTTGCGTATTTTCTTATCGATTAAAAACACCCAGTCAGCTACGATTGTTTTTAACATCAATAATAATCACTACTGCCTTGTATGGCATTGCATAGAATATTGCAAACTGCAAAATAATCTCCAGTTCAAGAGTGGTTCACGATGATATTGTAGTATGGAACTCACAATGAGCTGGATTTTTTGATTAAATAAATAAATAAATTGTAGTATGAAATGAAGAGTTAATTCGACAGAAGTCTGTGCCACAATACGTAATGATACGTTAAGAAATGAAAAAATACTGCTCAAATTGCATCTATTATTAGGGTTGTTATCATTGGTCTTCGAGAAGATAAAACTCATAGTGAATAGAATTAGTTTTCCAATCGGTATTTTGGTTATAATAATCACTGTCCTATAATTACAAGATTATCGATATTGTAAGGTTATCGTTTGTAATGATTGTTATTTTCAGCCTTCTCTCAGCACCTTTGGATTTGGCCAAATCGTTATCAGAGCCTACATCAGACGGAGTCATTGTTATTTCGTACTGTGCCAAGCAACTCGCAGAATGTGCTCCACTGAAATCACTCGCTCCCGTTGTCTCTGAATATCTTCAGGTATAAATCAAAACGTACCTTGCGTATGCGCAGCTGTCGAATCTTCAACACATAACAAAGCATTTTCAGAAAAGCGACTTAAAGATCTGTGCTATTGGCCTGATCTAATACTGGGCCCACAGTCAGAATTTGAAATTTGGAGGAGCTTTCTTCCAATCTGAGAGCATTTTAGTGTTTGGAAGGACTGGTACATTAGTTGTAAGCGAAGAAAATGCTCATAGTCCAACCTAATTTCAGTATTTTTTGATTTTGAAATTTCCACGATGGATGATGATTTGAAAGGTCATATTTATCACTTCAAAATATTGAAAGTCAAAAAATTTTTTGGGAAGTGGGTCAAGCTCACTGCCTTATGGCTAAGAACACACATCTATTAACCCGGAGATCTACAGGATGTACCTGATCGATAATTGAAGATCTGTCAAAATAACTGGGTGGATCTGTAGTACTTATGAATGAAAGTTTCCGAATGTGCTAAGTATCCACATAGCTCAAAGGTTTACAATGTACAATATGATGATTTCTGCAATGACGACCAGCTATGCCACCCATTATTTGGGATTGGAGATGTTCGAGTTTGTAACTGTGTGAATCACTCCGGAATGTTTTCAGCTAACTTGATAAATTAATAAGTCAAGTGAAATGAACTCATCCAGATATTTCTAATAGATATTTGTTGAATGTCAGTAAACCATATTGACAATTGCATTTGAATGCTGATCATTACAACAAAATGAGCACTGCATTCATCATGCATTCTATATTACGATATATATTCTAGAAGCATAATTATCAAGAAAAATTCATCGTTTTATTTGCATTTGATGTGATAAATTAATCGTTATCACATTAAAGTTGTCTTATCAGACGTATTGCCTATCATCGCTATTCATAGCAGCAATGCACTGAAGTTTTACTTTTGATCTTTCAAATTAGACCGCTTTCATCATTTTACATCATTTTCATAATATTTTTTCAAAATGTCGCCAACAAAATCACATCAGTTGTTATCATTTTTATTAGCGGGCATCATGTCATATCAGTAGTAAAATATTTTTCTTTTTTTTTCGGATCAATCTCAAAAGCGGGAAGGAATTTATGCAGAGCAACGAAAAAAAAGAGTTGGAGTTACAGATGGTGTTGAGTTCGCTTTATGAGTTTATGCTCTAAAGATTTCGCAAACAAAAAATTTGAGTTGTTCAGTCCATCTGCTTTTGCTAATTAATGTTTTCGACTATTATTAATTTGCACGTCACTATCACTATTATTAGATGATTAATTGTAATGCTGCAGTTGAATGCTGGAGCGAACAATACAGCATCGTTGATCGTAGTTGACAAATCAGTGGTACCGTCAGGTCGTTTGGTTTACTCGGGAACTGGACCCGTG